GGTACGGCAGTCAACATGGTGTTTTTATCTTAATTACTATAAAAACAAGCAACTATGTCAACAAAGAAAAGCAAACTGGCATATAGACACTCTATAGACAAAGCCCGTAAGCAAAAAAGACAAGAATGCTAAAAACGACAATAGCACAATAACACAATGGCGAGACACGCCAAAAGAATATTACAAAAAATGAACTATAACCAGTAAAGGTTTACAATATACAAAGAAAAATAAAAAGAATCACAAATACGTTTTACGCTATTACACTGTATTTAATTTGTAATATTTCTGTTCTAGGATCTATACAAAATGACAATGCTGCAGCTTCGAACGTACCAACTAGGTTAGTACAGTAAAACCATATAACGGACAGAAGGTTTACCACAATGCAAGCACAACATGGGGTTGATTACACCATTTGAACGTGCGCAACCCCCATCTTGCCCGTCTAGATCATATGTCATGAACCCATAACACACAATAAATCCTATCTGTAAAAAAAATGTTCGAATAAGAAAAGAAAGCATGAATGCATTTATAATTATTCAGCGCTAGTAAATCATAAATCGGTTCCGCTAATGACGTTGTTCGATATAATTGATAGACGATTGTCGTTATTACTGTTTGCTTGGCGTCGTTATTACTTGTGGTCTTTTACATATCCGGTTAATAAGTTTCGTTAATTCAACGATTTGTAGTTGAGTTGCTGACATTAAAACGTCTTGCAAAAGCATGTGTTTTATCTCTGAAAGTAACTTTCCGAAGGCTCGATTGCAATTTTTGTCATTGAGTCGAGACCATAGATAAAACAAATAAAATAAATGATATAAAGTCATATGATTAAACAAATTCAAGTATGCAACGCATGCATTAGAACAGACAAACAGGTTTAAAAACCGACCGTGCGATACCCTCATTGGTTGTCAATGTCATTAAACACCCCCTACTAGTAGGTTTAACAATGACAAGTATTCAGCTGTCAGAAATAACGAACTTCATGCTGTTTTACTCATCAGTATATATCATTAATCAATATATTCAATAACAGAAGGTAAACATTGTGATCTGGTTGGTGTGTTTTTATTTAAAAAAGGACATAGCTGGCGAAAATAAATATCAAGTCTTTTATTTGGACATTGGACATTGGACATAACGGCTGCCTCAATTACATTTGCATGTGTTCCAGTAAAATTTATATATACTTTATATTTGCATTGTTTGTATTAACTAATATATTTCAGTATGGCTATAGGGGCTATCGTCGCTACCGCTGTTCTTTGTGGAATTGGTGCCATATTGTGTATTGGTGGACTGGTGTTCGCATGCAAGAAATGTGTTACAAGTACGTATATATTTGAATATTTCGAATATGTAATGGAAATAGATAGATAGAAACTTTAAAAACAAAAATGGCAGGACAAGATCTTTAACCATGATAAAAGTCAACATTGCCAGAATCGTCAGTCGACTCGTTATTGGAGTTCTTGCTCTTTAGTGACAATTTTACCGTGTTGTTTTGCGTTTTTACCTATTATCCTGAATAGTATAAAAGATAGATAGACACTTTAAATTACAAAAAATAATCAGCAAGGCAAGATCTGCAAGTAAGTCAAACTTTTTTCACAATTTGTAGGAGTAAATACCCTTACATGACTATGTGCCGTACCCTTTTTGTGTTGTTTGCAAAATCTAATGAAGCTAGAGATACTGTTCTAGTCTACAATATGTAGCGTGTTCATTGTTAAAGATGCACATAGACCTATGTGAGTGACACACAATCTCAATGCAGGTTAAGAGATTATTTCAAATATAAAAAAATAATTTTGAATGGTATGATTGCCAATGAGACAACTCTCCACAAGAGACCAAATGACACAGAAATTAACAACTATAAGTCACCGTACGGCCTCCAACAATGAGCAAAGCCCATACCGCATAGTCAGATATAGAAGACCCCGAAATGACAAATGTAAAACAATTCAACCGAAAAAACTAACGGCCTAATTTATGTACAAAATGTGGTATGATTGCCAATGAGACAACTCTCCACAAGAGACCAAATGACACAGAAATTAACAACTATAAGTCACCGTACGGCCTCCAACAATGAGCAAAGCCCATACCGCATAGTCAGATATAGAAGACCCCGAAATGACAAATGTAAAACAATTCAAACGAAAAAACTAACGGCCTAATTTATGTACAAAATAATGAACGAAAAACAAATATGTAAGCCTTTCCCTTTAAAAACCCCCAATTATATACTGATAGGGACAAGAAAGGTCCACTCATCTTTAATATGCATAGAATTATATATGTGCACCTTGATGATTTGCAATTAACAATCAATCAATCAATCAATAGCCTCGCAAACAGTAAGTTAGTTGTTTTTTGTGCCTTGTATCGATCTGATAAATTCAGCCCTTTTCAACTGAGTTTAAAGTTTGTTCTTGTGCTGTTACAACACTGTAGAAAAGTTACCATTCAAAATTTGTATAGACGCCATAGTGATTTGGTTGACATTGATAAAATATCTGTGTCCCAGATGACTGCGGATATCTTACAACTGTCAAAGCCGCAATCCAGTCCTCTTCTTTACGATTTTGACTTCAGCGAATGCAATTAATCACCGGACTTTAAATTTGTATCAAAACCACGACGGATGACAGTAGTGGAGTAGAATATGCTGACCATTCGGAAGCACATAATATCAACCTGGATTCTTATTTTGGTATGTTTTGCTGAGTCTTTAATTTTCTGTATAGTGTTTAATGACGATTGTTTGTCTTGTCGTCGTTTTTCAATTTGCCCATAGTTTTGCTTGTTTTTCTTCGACTTATGATATTTGAATTTTTTTTTTTGGTATACCTGAATTATGTCTCTATTCAAAACGATTCCGGATTTGTACACAAATGTTATCCAGTTCGACTTTTGAAAGAAACACAGTAACAGACTGTAACAACTAATAATTACATTACATGTATGTTTCATTATAACACGTTATTTTGATTGGCTAACAGCAATCCCGCGTCATTCTGAAATGAACCTTCATTTCAAAATGAAATGTAATATTCCTGATGACACGAGCTTCCACAATAAAGTGCACAGATAAAAAAAAAAAAGAAGAAAAACTTGATAGAAATCGTGTTTTCATGATCCTAGCAAAGAAAAATGTAATTATAAGTTTTGAATGCTTCTTTTAGTAATTTTATAGGGTTGTAAAAGCGTTGACCGTGCGTTCAATTTCAAAATGAAGCGCTTCCACGCTTCATACAAAATGTACTTCGGTCAACACTTTTACACCCCAATAAATTTACAAAAAAGAAGCATTCAATACTTAAAAAGACATTTTTGTTTGCTTGGATCATGAAAACACGATTTCTATCAAGTTTTTCTTTTTTTTTACCTGTACACTTTATTGTCGAGATCGTGTCATCATGAATGTTACAATTCTTTTCATTTCATTTCATAGAAACATTCAATTCATAAATGATGCGAACCAGAAATATACGTTGGGTCAACTATGGCCAGTGTTATCAAATTTGTTGTATCTAGGGGCTAAATGTAGTAAATATGCCTGTTATCTCACCAATGATGAAAATTCCTTTCTGTTTAATGTTTCGAAATTGATCTTTGAGAACAAAATTATAAATTTCTAATAAGCAAAGAAATATTAAGAAGCATTAAAAATAAAAACCAAAAACTACCACAGAAGATATGAAATTTTGGTAAATATTGCGGAACCCAAGTAAATACAAAACTGACAAACAAAAAGGAACACTTTTAGTACAAGTTGATATCAACTACAATAAGCAACAAATTGTGTTAATTATATTCAAACTTCTGTTTTTTTTAATTTCAGATGGAGTTATAGTTTAATATTTGGAGACTAAATGTGAGCTTCTGTGTTAGTATATCAATATCACCGAAAATTGCATTCTGTTAATAAAACACGCATCTTTGTTTCAATTGCCTATCATTAAATCATCTATCATCAGGTGCTATTACTAATCAAATGTTTATGTTTTGTATCATACATTGAAAGTTATTATAAATAATGTTTATATATTTAGTATTTTTTGTAAAGCACTAACTTTAAATAAGTTAGGGCTACATTTCTAATAAAACCGTTTTATTAGTTTGATATGACTTTATGTGGTTAATACCATGCGTTACTGTCTTTTGTATTGTGACAAACATGAATGTTAAAAATCTGAAAAGACTGATGGAAATACTATTGGTTACTTAAGGCAGACCTTCTGTTGAATGTTGTAGAAGGAATAATATCAAAATTAGTTGAAGGAACATTCAAATCTTTCGGGAGCTTACTACATTGTGTAGTCATCGCTTGACCGTCCACCCTCCGTCTGGCTGCTATTATGGGGGTTCGAAGCGCACAATCTCAATGTTGACAAGATAGTGATTGCTGTCGATTAAATAATAAGACCACTTAGCCACAGAGGCCCCCAGATTTTGATAAAACTTATACGAATGGCCGAAGGTAGAACATTTGAAACACTGAAACGCATTTAAACAGTTGAAACATAAGCACTAATATTATGTATCGTATGTGTTTTCCAAGCATACCAATATGTGGAATTCCCTAAAATACATGTAAACCACTTCTGTATGGCGCTTTTTTTTGTTTTGTATCAATAAATGTGAACTTAGGTATCAAATGGCAGTTTTACGTTTTTTTTGGACTAACAATTTGTTCAACATTAATTAATAAAATTCAAATATAAAACGTATAGTTCTTAGATATGTAACGATCAAAATGAATAAAGCGAGACATTACAAGGAACAATAAATTAATTGTCTGTACCTTATAGAAATAACGACTGTTGAAGGTAAACGAAAATATAATTATTTTTTTTGACGAACTAGAATCTTTCATAGCAAAATTCTGTATTAAAAAAGTTTCACCAAAATACAAATCGCAATGAAAAGTTCAATAGGGGGAGAAAAAACTAAAAGTATGTGTATTAATCAGTCAAAAATATAAACAAAAATGTATTTCATGATGCATTTAATGCATATAAATAAACAAATAACATATACAAGACAAAATAAATGTACACTTTAGTCAAACACAATGAAATATCAAGTACACATATCATTACATGTACAGGAGACACAATGTTGAAGTCAATGGTCCCATATTTTTTAACTATTTCCTTGGTCCTTTTCTTGTACTTTAAACGACGCTCCCAGAGTATGTTCTTCAACCTTCAAAACTTGCATGCAGTCTGTCCTTGCATCTTCCATAATGACTGGTACCAACAAAAGAAAGCCAAAGACAAAGATAAATAAACGGTATACCAAAAGCATTAATATTCCGACTTCGAATACACAAATCATTGCAATTATAGATATAATTGATATTGTAATATCAGTTGTGCCGTTGTTTCAATTAGTTCATAGTCATGTTAAAATTTTGTTTGCAACCAATATAAGTAACGGAATGCAATTTACTGAATGTCCATCAAGCTATCTGTTGAGACAAGGTATACATACTCGTAGTTTTTATTTTCTCTCTCTTTATTTTGTTTATGTTAAAAGTGTTAATGTGCGACATTTTCAACTTCTGTGTTGTATCACACACTTTCTCCTGGAATATTCATACAACAAACCAAAAATATGGCAGTTATTCTTTTTTATACCTCATTTTCCTCCTTTGGGCTTGCGATACAGTTTCACATTTTATTGTCATTTTTATAATTTTGATACTTACATATTAATTAAATAAAGAAACTATGCCGTCATCATAATTGAAATGTATTGTAGACAATGGCGAATTATTAAAAAAATCACCAAAAAAAAATTGTTAAAGCCATGCTTAAAATTACGGATAAAAGTGGAATATTTGTTTTTATCTTTAAACATGCTAAATGTGGAAATCGAGAGATTCTCATAATGTATTTTTTTCTCAATTTTCTACATTAACTGACTTTTCGTCATGCTTACTCCAAATAGCAAATTTAAAACATGTTTCACCGTGCTTGGTTTGAAGATAAATCGCGATCAATCATAAAAATCGATCCCCCTTTTGTAACCTCTACGTTAGCGCAAATATTGGAGACGTTTCCCGCCAATTATTCTGGAAAGTTGTCTTCGAAATTTTCCAAGTGTATATATATTTTTGTCTCGCCTTGACGGAGTCAAAAAGCGAGACCTAGGTATGCTGTTTCCGGCGTCGGCGGCGTCAACAATGTTTTAGTTTGTGATTAGGTCTAGTTCATGGTGAACCACTAGTGTAGGTCAATGATATTTGGTGTGTAGTTGTATTATCATTGGCACATCTCATTACCATGGAGTTTTTTTGGCCCCGACCCTCAGTCAAGGTCTGTTGACTTTGAAACTTTTCATAGTTAACATGTATTAGTTTGTTATTAGGTCAATTTATGGGGAACCACTGGTGGTAGGTCAATGATATTTGGTATGCAGTTGTATAAGTATTGGCATATCTCATTCACATGGAGATTATTTGGCCCCGCCCCCTTACTCATGGTCTATAGACTAGAAAAATTTTGCTAAGTTAACATGTATTAGTTTGTGATTAGGTCAGTTCAAGGGGAACCATTAGTGGTAGGCCAATGTTAATTGGTGTTCAGTTGTATAAACTTTAGCACATCTCATTTCCATGGAGAGTATTTGGCCCCACCCCCTCAGTCATGGTCTATTGACTTTGAAACTTTTGCTTAGTTTACATGTATTAGTTTGTGATAAGATCAGTTTAAGATGAACTGCTAATGTTAAGTCAACGATATTTGGTATGCAAAAGTATTGGCATTTGCAGGTATCGTTTCCATGGAGATTATATAGCCCCACACTTAATCATGGTTTATTGACTTTGAAATTTTTACATAGTTTACAAGTTAATGTTTGTGTTTAGGTTTGTTTAAAGGGAACGACTTATAATAAGTCAATGGTATTTGGTATGCAGTTGTATTAGCATTGGCACATCTCATTCCATGGAGATTGTTTAGCCATGTACCTTCAATCATGGTTCATCAACGTTGAATTTAGCATAAATTACATGTTAAAGTATTTGCATTATCAAAATAACAAAAAGGCGAGACAAATCTCTGTGATAACAGTTTATTAACACAGAGCTACCTTAAAATAATAAAATATATCGAATTTATATCTGATACACGGGACATTCTAACTATAACTTCCTTCTAATGTATTAATACAGGTTAGACTTAATAAATTCGTTACAACAATCAGCTCAACTAAATGTATATAGTCATATACAGACTGTACATAATCTTAAAATCAATTAAGATGTATAACAAATGAAATACATATGTGTGTATATTTTTTTTAGCGAAGATTAGACTCTCAAAAACTCTAACGTTGTTGATTACATTTCTATTTGCACGACCTTACCGTAAAATAAATCTCAAGACAGTTAACACTTGTCACATCTTTAATTCTTTCGAAGCTGTCCAGACTATATTCTCAATGTAAAAGCGTGACATGAAAATAGAATAGATTTATCATGTTGTTGTTGTTATATTATTTTAATAATAAAGAAAGAGTCAAACGGAATTGAAAAGAAGTGAAACAAAAAATTCAATGATGCACAGTCCATGCTATTAACTAATGAAAAAAACCCAACAATATAACGGAAATAATTGTTTGAAATTACATGTTTTCTGGAAAAAAGATTATATTTGCTCAAAAATACCATACATCATTGATTATATGTAACCTAGTAAAAACTGACGAACAGTCATTTTTATAGCATGAAATGCAATTTTAAGTGAATGATCAAACTATAAAGCTACAAACATGAAATCAAATTAGATTATAGAATGATGAACTTACTAATTATAAATGTTTTTTTTTCAATTTATTCTTGCTATTAAACGAATTTAATACAGTATGATGTATCACACACTGCTTAAAAAGTGATAGATTTGCAAAACTTGGAATTTTCATGCGTTTTCTTGACAGAACAATACTTCATTATAATTTATGATTGAATTAATTCCAGACTTCCTCTTTAACATTTATATGAAATCATTATTTGTTTAAAATTATTTCTATGAATAATGTGAAATCTTTATTGATTTGAAATTCCTACAACCACACAGTTAAATAATAAAACAAAAACAAATATGGTACGGTTAGTAAATGTTTGAGTTATTTTAACATGTAACAACGACAAATAAATGAAGAGTAGGTATAATGTTATACATAATAAGCTAAGCACAAATATTGGAAACAGCGATAAAGGACACCATAATACCTTGTACATATGACATTAATAACTTAAAAACGCTAAATTATCAACGTGTTTAAATTAACGAATTCATAAGGGTCTGTATTGTAATATCATTCAAGATTTATGTAGTTAAGTTTCGATCTTCTGGATGTTCTTATATACACCATTGTCCTATAAATATAGATTGTTATAATAATCAGTTTGTATAATACATTTCATTACAAAAGGAATGGTGTGCTGTCTTTCGACATTTAAATACATTGATTGATATAGCCTAAACGTCATTATCCAATAAATAACTCAACTTACATGGACAAAAGTATGTGTGAGTGTTGCTACAAAAACAACTCGCTGTACCGTTCATTGGTTCAACTAAGCAGCTACCGAATCCGCAGTCATATGCATTGCATTGACTTACTGTAGAAAAAATAATTAAAATTAATATGATCATAACAAGTCAGTTTGTTTAGGGAGCACTTCATAATTCGTTTTATTTAAACATTGCCAAATGACCGTTATATATCAATCTAAAATTAAATGCGATTGATTACATACAACAGTATTAGTACACCTCGTCGTACCAAATATCGCCGGACGTTGTGCACCAATGAATACACAAATAAGGTGTAACTATGTTATCGATCATGCATATTTTTTAGCTTGGTTATCTTCATTTCACACACCGATTGATGGCTAATTGCCAAAACTGGGCAAGGGATCAGAGCTTTGACTGTAGGAGATGTATTCCTTAGTTTAAAATAAAAATGTCATGTTATGTGCTACATTTTCGTTATTATGGTGTGTTGTTTGCTAATGTTGTTTTGTATTCATGCTAAGTATGTAAGTAGTTTTGACTTTATATGTTTAATGGATATGATGAATACATGTGTAAAAGTATATACCATATTGAACAAAAATAAGTATAGAGACAAATATATAACCATCTAATAAAGAAACATTGATAGTACATTAATTGCCAGATATACAGGGTTGCTTTACTGAATAATGTACAAAAATGTGCGAAGAAACAAATTGTATCAACACACAAATAAAGATATATTATATATTACAAAAGATCGTTTGCTCGTGGAAGGTGATAGAATTTGTTAATGTAATGAGAGACACAATAAAACATAATGTAAATGAAAAAAATAATGATTGGAATTGAGCTTTGAACGTTGTTATCACGTATTTATATGTAATGCTATGTATAAAGTTTAGATAAATATATGTTGATTTAGATTATCTTATTATTTTTACTCATTCATAAAACAAAACCAATGCAGGCTAATGTTACATGACATACAATATATTATGGCCGAACGATGGACCAACTTAGGCTAATAACGTGTAACACATGACCCAAGAGTATGACATCATGATTTAAATAATATGCATTAATTTCGGAACGGAGGGCAAATATGATGTATCATATGTTTAATTTTGGTCCTCCTTTGGGTCAACGGAGTCTGATTTATAATTCAGTATAGTTTATTTATTTACCATTTTTTCATATGTATGATACATAATTAATTCTACAGAAATACGTGTGTTTAATGAAACGAACTAGTGGTTTGGTAATTTGGTTAAAAAATCAGCTAAAATACCTTTCATTTCGTAATTTGTTTTGCAATGCAGATGTTAAGCTGACTTAGTTTAAATGTGTCCGTATTCATGATGTTTGAATAGAAAAAAAAAACATGATCTAATCAAGATTGCCAAAGATGGTAGAAGACAGTATAAATCATAACTTAAATACTACAATCTATACCTTCACAGAATTGACCAGTCCAATGTCCAATGCAATCACACAATACTCTTCCGTCGTCCTTTTGAACGCATTTTCCATTGTTAAAACATTGACAGTTATCAGCTAAAATGAAGTTGCATTAAAATGTTGTATTATAGAAGTTATTTTATATGAACAATTACAGTGTTCTACTGATTTTCAAAATGAATATAGCTACCGTATGTATCATATAAATAAACAGGTTTTGTTAAAACAATATTCCCCTTGTTTATAAAATGGAATTTTGAAAATAATGAATATTCAAGTCTACAAAATTAAAATCTGAGTTATCATATAACCATAGAAAACAGAAGATATAGATGTTTTATGACCTCTCTAAAAATGTGGATATTCAAAGCGATTCATTCAGATACTAGACGTGAAACACATTAGTTAGTTTATATCAAAATGGCAAAACTAGATGATGACCTTTTTGTTCAATATGAGAACGAACAATGAAATTATAAGGGAAATCATTTCAAACAAAAATAACTATATTTTTGGTGGCTTCTTGCCAAAGTATTTGATGTATGTTTATCTTTTTTAAGTCAAGTGCATTGCATTTCTGTGATGTAAATTTACACAGTTTTGGCTATTAGGTCCGCGCTTTTGTCACCTTTATCTATTATGTCTGTTTGGATTGGTTTCTAATTGTTTTCAATATGACGGAACTGTAATTCACGTGTAACGTTAAGTCTGTAAATAGTTATTAAAGGTACCTGGATTATAATTTAATACGCCAGACGCGCGTTTCGTCTTCATTGGACTGATCAGTGACGCTCATATCGAAATAGTTATAAAGCCAAACAAGTACAAAGTTGAAGAGCATTGAGGACCCAAAATTCAAAAAAGATGTGCCAATTACGGCTAAGGTTATCTATTCCTGGAATAAGAAAATCACTAGATTTACGAAAAATGTAAAGTTTTGTCAACAGGAAATTTACTAAAATGACCATATAATTGATATTCATGTCAACACCGAAGTGTAAAACTATAAAACAAAGTTTGCATTTATTACTATAAATAGTTAAGGGGTTTCAATGCCAAAACAGCCTTTCAAATGAAATGCCTGATATTTCCAAATGAGCTTGCTGCCTCATACGGGTTTTCACTTCGGCTTGATGTATGGCAAACACACGTTCTCTATTGATTAAAATCCAATGAAAAAAATAGATGTGTTTTGGTTGTTGTTTTTTTGGTATTCTTCTTTAAATTAATTTTGCCTACATGTAAATTGTGCAAAGTAGTTGTTGACCTGCAAAAAAGATATGTATAACCTAAGAAACTGTTGTATCTTCAAGACAGACAACTAAAAATTAAATAAAATGTTATATAATCAATACACAAAATTATACTACGTACGATTACATTTTTCAAGCTCAGATGATCGCAGTGATATCACAAATGTTCCATCGCTACATTTAGCACTTGTTCCAACGGATGCTCTTTCAATTAGCCATGACCAGAATGGAAAAATACTGCAGTCACAGTTGAGTGGATTTGATGTAAGATATCTTAAAAGGTGATGGTAATAAATCAAAATTTATAGATTGTTTAAAACTTATATTGGCACGGAGCCTTATGTAAAGTTTGTTAATAATAGATGCCACCGACGTATTTTGTCACTATTCAGAGCTGGTTCGTTACAACTAAAACTTGAAACAGGTTAATATGGTAGACCACCATATATATATATATATATATAAGTGCCTATAAATAGCAGCACATGACATACAAATCTATGGGAGTGTGGATTAATCAGTACAGAGATTAATTCAATTACACAAATAAAATTATAGATTGCCTAACAATGTAATTTTAACACACTATTTAGTATGTAAATATAAGAATGTTTAAAATATTTACAAAATGATGAAAATAAACGCAATATTTCGCTAGACTAACTAGCTTTATCAAGCGTACATCTATCCAGGTGAAATCGGATGTAGATGATAAGAAACTTTTGCAGCTCAATGTATATGTTGCACTTGAATTTAGCTGCCTTGAAAATAATACATAATTTGGATGAAGTTCAAGATTTTTACAAAATTGCTAGTTGAAGTTAGCAACGTCCATTGGCCAATATTACAGGATAAAAAGGACGATGCTGTGTACTAAATTATTCTTTATCTTTCCTGTATCTTTTCTCATCTTTTTCGTTAAGACCATCAGGTTCTAAAGTGTGGAGTTGGTGGATCCAAAAATTTTCTCTTCTCCTTCTCGCCGTGGTGTCCCACTCGGTGTTGACTTCTATGATTTGGAAGGTAACATTATCAAAAGAATGTTTCGTTGAACGAAGATGTCTTGTGAGAGGACAGTTTTTGTTTGTTTTGTACCATGAACGATGGTTATTGAGCCGAATATTAAATTTGTCCATTGTTTCTCCCACATACTGAATGTCACATGTGTCACATGTTAATATATAAATTGAGTTCTCCGTTTTACAGTTGGAATTTGAGTAGATGGTATAATTTTGTTTAGTAACGGAGCTGATGAAGGAACTGCTTGTATTGGCAGCTTTACAACACAAGCAGTTCCTTCGACCACATTGTTTGTAGCAACCGGGAGATGGAGTAGGCTGCTTTGCTAATACAGATGTCACTAATTTGTCACGGATGTTTTTAGGTCTTCTGAAGGCCATGACTGGTGGTGAGGAAAATACTTTTTTAAGATTTGCATCATTTTCTATAATTTTCCAATGCTTCTGAACAATGGAAGACACATTTTTAAAATCAGGATGGTAAGTGAGTACAAGGGGTGTTCTGTTAGCAATGAAAAACATTATCTCCAGATAGACGGTACTAGTATGGGCACAAAAATGGCCCCGTCATATGCCAACATATTTATGGGCCAACTTGAAAAACGCCTCTTGGCTAGTGCTCCATACCAGCCCTTATCATGGTTCCGATTCATTGACGATATTGATTTCAAATGGACAGATTCACAAGAACATCTTAATGAATTTCTAGGACACTGTAACTCTTTCCACCATTCAATAAAATTTACATATGAATCATCTATGGAGAAAATAAACTTCCTCGACACTACGAGTTACATCAAGAACGGAACCATTATAACGGACCTTCATACCAAACAAACGGACAAACATCAATTCCTTTCTCCTAAAAGTTGCCATCCTAAACACTGCTCCCGTGGCATCCCATTCAGCCAGGCATTGCGAATCAAGAGAATATGCTCTACTGAAAATACGCAAAATGCTAGACTTGGACAACTACGTAAACATCTAGTTGTTCGAGGATACAATAACAACATCATTGATAGCGCTTTCGAAAGAGCAAACAAAACTAGTCGCCAAGAACTTCTAGAGTACAAAGATAAGAATAAAGCAACTAACAGAACACCCCTTGTACTCACTTACCATCCTGATTTTAAAAATGTGTCTTCCATTGTTCAGAAGCATTGGAAAATTATAGAAAATGATGCAAATCTTAAAAAAGTATTTTCCTCACCACCAGTCATGGCCTTCAGAAGACCTAAAAACATCCGTGACAAATTAGTGACATCTGTATTAGCAAAGCAGCCTACTCCATCTCCCGGTTGCTACAAACAATGTGGTCGAAGGAACTGTTTGTGTTGTAAAGCTGCCAATACAAGCAGTTCCTTCATCAGCTCCGTTACTAAACAAAATTATACCATCTACTCAAATTCCAACTGTAAAACGGAGAACTCAATTTATATATTAACATGTGACACATGTGACATTCAGTATGTGGGAGAAACAATGGACAAATTTAATATTCGGCTCAATAACCATCGTTCATGGTACAAAACAAACAAAAACTGTCCTCTCACAAGACATCTTCGTTCAACGAAACATTCTTTTGATAATGTTACCTTCCAAATCATAGAAGTCAACACCGAGTGGGACACCACGGCGAGAAGGAGAAGAGAAAATTTTTGGATCCACCAACTCCACACTTTAGAACCTGATGGTCTTAACGAAAAAGATGAGAAAAGATACAGGAAAGATAAAGAATAATTTAGTACACAGCATCGTCCTTTTTATCCTGTAATATTGGCCAATGGACGTTGCTAACTTCAACTAGCAATTTTGTAAAAATCTTGAACTTCATCCAAATTATGTATTATTTTCAAGGCAGCTAAATTCAAGTGCAACATATACATTGAGCTGCAACAGTTTCTTATCATCTACATCCGATTTCACCTGGATAGATGCACGCTTGATAAAGCTAGTTAGTCTAGCGAAATATTGCGTTTATTTTCATCATTTTGTAAATATTTTAAACATTCTTATATTTACATACTAAATAGTGTGTTAAAATTACATTGTTAGGCAATCTATATATATATATATATATAAACAAGTCTAAATTGAAAACAACGTTCAAACCTATGATTGCGTTGGATAAAAACAGCAATTTTTATACGTGTGCATGGAAAACAAATTTCTTGGTAGAGGGGTCTAAATACAGCACAAACAACATTTTCCAAAATACCAAAATAGTGAAAAAGTATATTTTAACAAAACGCATTTGACTAACAGGTCGAACAACTGATGTTCTTAAATCCTGCTGACTGCCATTGGCGATTGCCAAATAAACCGATCACCGATGTAATAAATGGATCTTAATTGTAAATTTAGTACTAAACTGAAAACAATAAACTTGCGGAAAAGATGGTATACCGCAAACAAAAGGTGCAAAGGTTTTTGTACACCATATCCGGATTTCGACAATTAATGTATCTTCAGTGATGTTAGGAATCGAAACGGTATTTGGAAAGTCATACAATTTAACTCAATTTAGGATAGACTCTTGAATGTTGAGGAGTCAAAATAGAATGAACGGATCATATAAACCCGACGGCAAATATAATACAAGCCCAAACGAAAAAATATAAACAATTCTAAATTGAAAACAACGTTCAAACCTATAATTACGTTGGATAAAAACCGCAATTTTTATACGTGTGCATGCAAAACAAATTTCTTGGTAGAGGGGTCTAAATACAGCACAAGCAACATTTTCCAAAAGACCAAAATGAGTGAAAAAGTATATTTTAACAAAACGCATTTGACTAACAGGTCGAACAACTGATGTTCTTAAATCCTACTGACTGCCATTGGCGATTGCCAAATAAACCGATGACCGATGTAATAAATGGATCTTAAATGTAAATTTAGTACTAAACTGAAAACAATAAACTTGCGGAAAAGATGGTATACCGCAAACAAAAGGTGCAAAGGTTTTTGTACACCATATCCGGATTTCGACAATTAATGTATCTTCAGTGATGTTAGGAATCGAAACGGTATTTGGAAAGTCATACAATTTAACTCAATTTAGGATAGACTCTTGAATGTTGAGGAGTCAAAATAGGATGAACGGATCATATAAACCCGACGGAAAATATAATACAAGCCCAAACGAAAAAATATAAACAAGTCTAAATTGAAAACAACGTTCAAACCTATAATTACGTTGGATAAAAACCGCAATTTTTATACGTGTGCATACAAAACAAATTTCATGGTAGAGGGGTCTAAATACAGCACAAACAACATTTTCCAAAAGACCAAAATGAGTGAAAAAGTATATTTTAACAAAACGCATTTGACAAGCAGGTGGAACAACTGATGTTCTTACACCCTGCTGACTGCCATTGGCGATTGCTAAATAAAAGGATCACAAGATGTAACAAAATATATATATATAGATACTGTAATGGATGGTGACATTTTTCTAAAATAAATCTCATCTTATTTTATCTTAAAACATATCTTTAGAGGTTTTTACTTGTTAAATGATTCACCATCAATTGACATGTGTTATGGTTGCTCATAAATCCAATATAGGGCTTATATTCATTACCAGACCACAATAGTTTTTGAACATATGCTGTTTCATTTGATAAACACAGAATCATGTTAAAACCGGTTCAATAACTACTTGAACTAGTTAGAGTAACATAACAAGTGATCACAGATGTTCGTAAATAACAGGTGGTATCCTACACATGGTTAAATTGACTGTAAATACACGTTCTCTTATAAGTCGTCTTAGCGAATGTTTGAATCAATGATACATAAATGGTGTGTGGATTCAGTAGAATGTGTCCTCGTGCAGTGTATGCCTTGAAAATTTGGTGATTATGTTGAACGCATCTTTCCCACCGATCTCATATCTTGACTAAAATCTAGCAATTGACAATGAGTGTCGGTTGATAGCAAAAAATTACGACAAAAGAGATGATTTCAGCTTCTCTATTGTGAGCTTACCATTTCTATGTAGCAACATTCCAGCAACGTCTACATACGGAGTATATATATCCCAGTTGATACGATATTACACATGTTACATGGGTTGTATTTCCTATCATGATGTCCTTGATAGAGGGTAACTGTTCACAAGGAAGCTCCTAAACCAAGAGCTCCAAGTGGTGAAGTTGAAATCATCCGTCCGTATATTTCAAGGACGCTATCACGAGTTGGTTGGTTGACGCAATGGAATATTCGTTTCAAAGATGATAGCGAATTTGTTCCAATTGTCGTAACTACAACCATTCCCCTCTTCCCCGACTTATTACCAGGTTTGTACTAACATGAGCAACACGACGGATGCTATATATGGTGCAGAATCTGCCTACTCTTCCGGAACACCTGACATCACACGAAATTATGGATTTTGTGTTATTAACATTTGCTGTTACAACATTTTTGAAATTGTTTTAGATTAAGGAATACATCTGTTTTATGCAAAGCTTTGATTCCTTGCCCGAATTGGTTAAATCGTTTTGTCATTTTTTGGTTTAAATGCTCTTCATTTTTTAGTTAGTTTTGGATTTTCAAATAATTTGGGCTCTCGCATTACTGAAGAGATATTTATTGTCGAAATGCGAATCTGTTGCAGAAAAAGTGGTACCGTCAATGTTATTACTGGACATTCAAAACAGTCAAATCCTGTAACATTCAAAATTTCTATTTTCGTAATACCTGCTAAACATTCATAGTATCGGTTGGATCTTCAATTGAAAGAAGAGAAAGGGAAAACAATACATGTACATAAAAAAATCAACAAGCAAACAAAAAGAAACAGCTTGAAATATATCAATATAGCAATTGTTTTCTTTTTTTGAATCACTCAACGTTTAAGAGACTAAAAGAAAATTTTAAGACAAGACTTTGATAAGGATGAGCAGATTTAGGTTTTGAAACTCAAGGTGCAGTTAACTTCATAAAATTATTAAGCGCAAATAGTTATTGAAACTCAAGGTGTACTTTATAGCATAAGTTTGTTGAGCATTGAGAGTTATTGAAACTCACGAGATCAAAATCTGATTTAAACATTTGTTTATTGATTGTTATAGTTTTGTCATGACTAATGCGCTGACCACAATTTGGATTACGTAAAAACTTATTTTTCACTATAGAAACGACATAGCAAGAGACTAGTGTATACAAGTTAAGAACGCGAAGATTATTTGGATCATCAAGCTTCATTCCAATTGAATCAAATATACGTTTACAAATTAATAATATAGTGTCCAAACTTACAACTGAGACAGTGAAGTAATATTCCCAAAAGCATGTTCTTTGATATGGCTGATATTATTTTGACTGAAATCTCTGTAATAAATAAACATCTCATATCGAACATATTAGATCAACAATATATCAAAATCACGTATAATGAGAAACATTCCGTCAGTTACCTTTATTAATCTTCAAACTGTCATATCTTGCATTCTAATATTTATTCCTGATTATCTATTATATAACTGTCTACCTTATTAATCCATCTTTATTGCAATCAAACTATTTTGATTTGTATCTCTGTCCAATAACTTATTTTGGAAGCGATCTAATATTATTTTATCAAATCTGCATTCCCAAGTTAAATCTCACACTCCTAATAATACTGCATCTTTATGCAGAATGTTGTGTCATGATTCCAATGGATAAAATGGTAAAGATTGTTTTTTTTATTTAAAACGGTTTGAAGCTTCTTACGTATTTGTCACTAATGGCTTACTTACGTTGGCGATTTCAACGTTCCTGATGCAAGAAAATTAACCAAAGAGCTGTACACACATAAAATGTAATATTCTACTTCATTATCATTCTTTTATACTTACATGTATCTTGTATCCACTTTCTCAAATGTATGTGCCTTAATTGTGGTCAACTTGTTGTTTTCAAGATACCTTCCAATACAAATATTTGCAAATTAGATACATGATATATGTTTTGTTTTTACACACCACGACACACACACATTTTACACCTTAACAACTCACTAGTCCACATCAGACACACACACTCACGTTTAATATTCCATGTTATAAGATTTAACTTTCAATGTTATACTGTGTTTAGCTCCTTTACGGACTTCGGTGCAATGTATGAGCCACACATATAGTTTTATGATATTTCGCCTACGCATCGTTTACATTTGTATAGGTACATCCAATTGAAAAATAACACGCCTCATTGTGGAAAATGTTTCAGGTCCCCGACTTGTCAACTATATATGTGAAATATCTTGGCCGTTAACAGACAGTTAAACCACTGATAATTTTTTAAGGTAATCACAAAATAGCCATAGGGCACATCTTTAGTATTGACAACTGTTATCCTGCATACAAGGGTTATCTGTTAATATAAAATTGAAATCAAGGATAACAACCGTATACTATTTATACCGACCGCCGATAAAGCGAAAAAATGACAGGTTAGAAAGACTCAAAACATGATTAAGGATGTCCGCTACTCTGTTTCAAAATAACAAGCTTTTTAAAAGATTGTTATAAATTGATAGTATATAAATAAAGGAACTAAAAAAGCAGAAAAAAATGAAGGGTCCGTGTGCTTATTTTCGAGATATAAGCCATCGAAAATTTGGTGGGAACTGATTCTCTCTTGATTTTTCATACATTTAATATTGGCACCTTTTTTCTTTTAAAAACCACGAAAAAAAAAAAAAGAATTTGTTAAGATTTTTAAATATGACCTTTTAAACTATATGTAAAAAAATAATGAAAAGAAAACTAGAGGTTAGTGGGCAAATATTCTAATAAAACTGCATGAATAAAATTAGAGGTTTCCGAATATCTGGCAAAAAATCTAAAACAAGAGGAGCAAACATCCTTAACATGACTTATATCGTTGATTTTTGACAATCTTACTAGGATTTCAATCCTTTCTTCTCTCATGTACCGTATACCCCTGGATTAATCGTCAACACTTATGAAATTAACTCACATGGAATAAAGAGCCGGAATGTGGACAAATGCATACTCCTCTATGGTGGTTATTTCATTGCTGCTAAGGTCTCTTTTAAAAATAAGAATTCACTTTATTTAAAAAAGAAAAAGTTTTAGTTTTCAATGTGATATGATAAAAACCTGTTTTAGTAACTGCATTTGGAATAATGAAAAAGAACAACGAAATTTGTGATTAATGTACAGCATTTGAACTAATGAAAATACTTCTAGTAAACAAACATAGCATCAATACTGCATAGCTTACTTCTTAGATACTTTTCTTGAAAATATGCTTGGAAATTTCAGTTGTTTACATGGTAATTTGAAGCTCATAATTACAATGTACATGGCTATGTTATGGCATGATTCAAAATTAATCCAAAAAATCAGGGAGTTCGCAAATGAAAACCATGCAGAAAATTGTTGTTTAAAACAGACATTTATACACAATATACTTTGCTGTCAATTTCATTTTTGTTTTTGTATAAATGGCTTCATATTGAAAGAGACGAGTTCAATCTAAGTATAGCATAATATTTGCTAACATTCTTATAGCTGCATGGTTAGCAGAACAGAATACTCGTTTTCGATATACATTGATACACAGATGTTGGTTATGCGTTTGAAAATCTTACATTTAAAAAGAAGATCTACTATTTGTAAGACGACGGGAAGTATATTCAAACTAACATAGTCATTTGTAATGCAATGGCATGTTTTGCATTCCGATATAGCAGAGTATGAGTGCAAACATATAAGCATTTACTTTTAGATAGTTTTCCTTGATTAATATATTTGAAACAAATGAAAAAAAAAAATATGAAGTCAAAGAGTTAATGAATTATAATCTTTTTGAAAGGGACACACATCGTTATGTAAGGCAAACACAAGAACAAAAATCAACAATCATGATGACAATACTTTGTGAACTCAAATGTGTAACCTAATTTTCGTATGTTTTGTGATTGTTATATACGAGTTCTGCTTCATTACATGAATGTTCTGAATGAAATGTGACACTGTATACAAGTATATACTTACATGTATCGAAGACGAGGGAGATTCATGAAAGCAAACTGTTTTATTGTAGATATCTTGTTATCTTGAAAGTAACTAAAACAATAATATTAATGTGTTCATAAGTTTGAACTGCCATTATATCGTTTGTTAATCTGAATGTTCGAATCAACATTTTTAAAACATTAACCATCAACATTTTAATTTATATATTATTCGTATATGCATATATTTTATTTGTTATGTGTAGTAAAAGAAACAATCATAGCATATCACTGTAGGCGAATGGTTGTGTAATATTTTCTAATTATGAATTAGTTTTATAAAATGTTATCAAAATTATAATTATTATTGTATTAATAATAATCACCATTATAACAGATTGAAGAAACAGTTATTATTTTTAAGATTGTTAACTAAACAAGCAGAAACCGCGTACGATCTTGTTAAACATGAATATCGTTAAAACCAACTTGAATTCCAATTACCTAAACCATCTTATATTCTTTAGTTAAATAACACTCACATTGGTTTGGTGTAATATCAATGTAGGTTGACGCAGCAATCTCCAGTTAATTTAAACAGCGTAATGTCATATATGTGGAAAATTGAAATTTTGAGGACAATAAACAAAAGTGACATTACAACTTACACTCTGTACAAATTTGTCATGTTCATAAAAGTATAACTTGATATTGACTGTATCTTGTTTTTAGACATATATCTGAAAGAGATACACCTGTTTATATTGAAAAGCTTATATAATCCTGTACTTTCAGGCAATTTATTACAAAATTGATTAAGCTATATATAAAAATGTATGTAATGTTTCTTAATCCTTTTTAAATTACATTGATTGAAAAGGATAGCGATGGGCCAGTAGACAGAAAATATATAACAATAACTCATTATACATGGAATTGCAGTGCGATTTACTGATTGTTTAATCGGGAACAGCCCATTTGAACAGTCCAATGACCACAAAAATATACTTTAAATAAAAACTATAATTTGAATTTTCCTTAGAGTTCGGTATTTTTGTTATTTTCCTTTTTTTGCATTATAACAAATATTATACAAGTTTATTTTCTGATAGGTTTTCCATTTCAAATTAAAACCTTTAAGTTATAAGAGGAAAACGGCTTTTAAATATGTTGCGAGATTTATAATAATAATATTATACTATTGAGGAAATACAAACAGATTTCGGGTCTTATAACCAGACAATAGAACGCCATTCAATTAAAAAAATGTATTAGCAGACATACAGAACCCCGAAAAAAGTTCAAAAAGAGGGAATTGGATATTTGGTCCGTGACATCTCCGTCGAAATAGGAAGTATTATCATATGAAATTTATATTAATTTGTCAGATTCATGACCTATTTCGGAGCAAGACGAAAACTTAAAGAACTAACCTAAAAATTATCTATAGTACAATTGTGTTGCAGTAACAACAAATGAGAGTGATGTTTACTGAATTTAAATTTTGGCAGTTTATGATTGTAACAGTTTGACAGCAATCTTATTTTACGTATTGGTTATACTTATCCAGTCTTTAAGGAGCTTTATAAATTTAACTGACCGTAAATAACAAAATTTCATACAAAAACATAAAAAAAAAAGAAAATAATTTTAGATGTTCCAAATTTGTAAGCACACTCTGTTCAACAAAAAGAAGCTGTAAATCTAGCTAATTTCAAAATGACATACAAAAAGGATACTAGATGCCTCAAAATTTGAAATATGCAACAAAGCACAGCAATAAGACTAGCTGGAACACACACAAAAAAGAAAAAAAAAGACAGCTTTTGCGTAAGAAGGAACATTATAGATACTTTTGAATAAAGATTCATCTGTATGCTATATGTAGAAAAAAACTGAAATAGGCAAACTGTAAAACAGATATTGCGCTTTACGAGTTAACTCATGCTACCCACTTGGTTAAACTGTTCACGACACAAGGTTTGATTTTCTTGAAATCTTTTGAAATGAATCCAATATTGTCGATTTCATGATCCAGGAAATTGAATTGTTTAGGTCCTCAACCTATACTTGAATTAATTGGTAAAAGAGAATAGAACGTGATACAGCTGTGCACGTTTCAAATATTCTGTCACATGTCTTATGATATACGTAACTGTTTACTAACAACATGATTTATATCATTGCCCTTACGAATACAGTACAGCCCTAGACAGCTTTTCCCAGGGTATATGAAAACTTGATTTCCATTTTGGTTAATGATATATTGTACAATATATACTACTGCCGTTTTATTTTAAGTTCTAATGTGAAGAATTTGTCACCAAAATGCTTTTAAACATAGAGAATTTTTTATTGCATTATCAGTAAAATCGTCATCGCTTTTAAAAACTAACAATTACGTCTTCTTTTTGGTGGTTTAGTGTGCAGCGTGCTGGTAAGTGTTACATATACCTGTGTAGTGTATTGTTGTTTGTCTTTTCTTCGATTAGGAATTGTTGATCATAATGTTGTTGATTATGCTATAATGTATGCTTGTTTGAGTCCCGTTATATCTTGTCCCGTATTACATATTTACTAATAATGCTAACACTAATTGAGGCTACTCAGCTTACTGGTATTGGAATGATTTTTAACAAACTTCTCGTATTGAAGTGTACGTTCATCAATTTAGAAATTATTAAGAAATTAAGTTTTCGAATCATTCAAGCAAAGTTGACCATATATGGATTTGGCTATCATTTTCAGGTCCTTGTTAAACATATAGCTCTTCTGCTGTTTCGGTTGTTATATTCCTTGACATTCAAATATAAAAATAAAATCCAGGAAAGCGCTTCGGACGCACTCAATTTTATAAAGTGTTGTTTTCAATTCTTAAAATTTAGATGATATACTCACAAATAGTATAAGTTTGGCATGGTTCGAAATTGTATTACATCAATATTATGAATACTGTTGTTTTGCATGTACCTAAAAAGAAATACAATAAACATTGATTATTATAGAAGATTGAATGTATTCTTCCATTTTGGATTGTAAAATAGCAGAAAACAATCGGTAAAGGTTTTTAATGACAAACGTGTATGCAAATTTTGAAAGGAATCTAATTCACTTGTCAGACTTCATATATATAAAGAAAACTATATGTACTATTTTTTTTCTTACGACTGATTACCACACGTAGAACAAAAGTACAGATTAATATTTTTTTTTTATTTATTAAACTTAGCCGTATGAGGGGAGATAACTCATAAATTCTTTCTTTTATAAAGGAATGCTTAGTGAATTTTTCAAATTTGTTCTGTTGCAAGAAAACAACTCCCGTTACTCCAAAGGTTACTTTTTTATTTCCTGAAAGCAGATTGTTAGAGATACCTTCTTATATTTTTGTGAAACAATCTGTACTGGACAAAACAAAATGTCAAGGTACCTATACTTTTAATTAGATTATAAAAAGCGGTACGATTTACACTTCATTTTCGACAAATCATTTCCTTTGTCGATTAAAAGTTCCCCAACAACTTTTATTTTATCCTTATCAAACTGGCCAATATCACTATGACACTATTTTATAATTGATTTTGAAACTATTGAACTGTCTACAAATTAGGGCATACGTTGCATCATCAAAATAATGCAAAATGTATTTCGTTTACACTGTTTTTTTTTTAAATACTTCATAGCATTGTTGACTTATGATTTGCAAAAACAAGTATTTTTTTTTCTATTTTATCATCCGATTTTGTTTGTTCGTAAATGAACGTGTCTAAAACGCTGTCATGTCAAATTATAATGTAATACTGTTTGTTAGTTTTGTAATTATATGTTATTTGTAATAAACATTCTGATCCTATCAAATCATGTATATGACAGGAAGATTGCGTTATAAATAAGTATGTACTTACAGATATACAAGGTTTGGAAGATGTTCCAAGGCGTGTTCTTCTACTTCAGATATATTATTGGACTGAAGATCACTGTACAAATGAATTGAACATGCTTATTTAAGTCATATTTTTATCTGTTTAAAATATTATTGCAAAACCTTTTAAGATCTGTTAATTTCAAAAGATCGATACAAAAATTTATTCCACATCAAAATAAAAGAAATATCAAATTAAAACCAGTAAAACATGCAATGATATAATTTTGTCAGATTACACACGAGTCAAACAAAATGTCAAACGACAAACAAGAAAGCTAGGCCTTTTGTAAAAGACCAGAAAATATCAAATTTCAAAATATAAATATAAAATTTGAATTATATTAAGCAGTTCAAGGTATATCAAATACACAAAGTCAAGTGATTGATGCATATCTACAGAAAGAAATCAGAACAAATTTCCTTTTAGGAGAAACGCACTAGTTTTGAACATGTAGATTTTTGAAAATAACATCCTGTTTTAATGACTCCTATACATCTAGATAACATATTAACAAGTAAATCAATTTTCCGTAGTGTACTTATTTGACTTTACAAATCGAGTGATTCAAATACACAAGGTAACTTGACTAATGGATGTCTGCAACAAATAAAATTGAATCACATCGTATTTCGGAAGAAATCTTCTGGTTAGGAATGTAAATCTAGATTTGAAAACGACAGTTTTAGATAAAAACACAGGCAATTTCTATATTTTCTTTAGAAATAACCAGGACTTTTTTTGGCAAATACATTCCACGTGTGAACAATTGCGGAAAATGCATTATCTGAAATAAGAAAAACAATAACGTTCTTTTTTAAGAAAGAAAACTCCTTTATGTTGAACGTAGATCTGATTTAAAAAAAACAGTTGACCAATTTCTATGGCAGTTAGATTGCAAAGTTTACAATGTAAAACAAGATGAAAGAATGTTCTTATGTTGTTCTCAAATTTGACTATATATGTTTACCATGTAAATAATGTATCCGTTTAACGTGAGTTAACATTTCTCAAATATATCTACGACTGTATTTTTCTTAGATATAACCCTGTGTTTTATCTCGCACTCTTTATGTCGAAAATGTACTTGTGTGGTTTAAGATATAAGTTGTTCCCTTCAGTCAACGAGACTAACGTACGACAATGCATACATGTATACGTGATATTGACGATGGCGCATTGTCATTTCTGACCGTGTTATATGCTAAACTATCTTGAAATTATGTTCATTGTTAGTGATTTGTCAAGCAACAACTTATGTAAAAAACAATGATGTTCATACATGTCAAAATATAATTAATAATTTGTACGTGGATATATATGGTCTGTGTCACTGGACTTTTAGAAAACACTAATAAATCTTTAAAAGCATCATATACATAGATACAAATTTCTTGAACTTACATTTCATATAAGTTAGTATAGTTGGCAAATACGCCCGATTTTAAGATTTTGATATTGTTAAACTTCAAGTCTCTGAAATAGAAAAGGACTATCAAAAATAGATTACAAGGAATATATGTATTTGACCTAATACTTTAATTCTTTGGCGTCTTTTAATGGTGATGCATGTGTTTCAAGTGCCGTGCAATATTCAATATGTTAAAAATGTATTCAACTGACGGATCAGTAAAATCGTAATGTCTTATGATATACCGCATTTAGAATGAACATTGTTGTGTAGATATGTATTTTGCTTTGAATCAGCGTCTGTGTTATGACTGCCCTTGTGAAATAATTTGTTCTTTCAACAAGTTAAATTTCAAGCTATCAGACAGGTTCATTTGAGTGATTACGCAGTTTTGCAGAAAGAAAATTTCTAATTAAATCTAAATACTGCATCACCATGATCACATAGATAATAGTTTTATAGAAGAAGACATGACAACATTGGTGTATGTAAATAATCAAATTAATCGTACTTACACTTTATACAGATTGGATGAATTTCGTGGTAAAGATTGGTTTATATCTCGTAAATCGTTGTAGGAACCATCACTGGAAAGACAGTTCAACAAAATGTATCAATATGTTATCTTAAAATAATAATATTGCTTGTGAAATATAAAATATTTCTAGAACATTAAATGAAATCATTTGAACTGAAAGAGAACAAAATGCCAATAGTCAAAACCTAAAATATGTGTATCATTAAACATTTAAAAAATATATCCCAAACTTATAACGCCGATGCGTTTAATTTTGTGTCCAAATACTCACCAGGGGTATTCGGATCTTAAAAGTTATAAGTGCTTAAGTGAACACGAAAAGAAAAAGTAAGTGAAGGATTTATGAGACTGATTAGATTAGACTAGACTAATTTGATCATTCTTCATTGCGATTTAGTTGCCGTGTTAACATTTTCTCCTCATACCAGTACATCACTTTAAGTTATCTCTCTCTCTCTCTCTCTCTCTCTCTGATATAACCGGTACGGTGTTGATAAATCGTAACTGATTGTTTAACATCAAACTGTGTAAATAAAGGCAACAGTAGTATACCGCTGTTCAATAGTCATAATTCGATTCAGCGAAAACAAATCCGGGTACCAAGTTAAAAACGATGGAAACACATCGATTATAAGAGGAAAACAACAGAACAACAGAAACACTGAACTACAACATAAGCAAACGTCAACATACATAGAAACGGACTATCTGATAACAACTGCCACATTCCTGACTTTGTACAAGGCATTAAAAGAAAAAATAGTGGTTTGAACCTTTATGGCTAGCCAAACCTCCCGCTTATATGGCAATGGTAAAATACCGTTAAAATGACAACACTACGCGACAGAAATACAGTACAAACAAACGCAGAACACTCAGCACAGAGAAATACATAAATAAATAATATGATAGTACATTACAACATGTAAACCGCAGAATAACGGACATCTCCCATGAATTTACGACAGCACATCAGGACACCACAAACGAAATATAAACTGCGCGCCACATGAACGGATCAACATCACAAAAAGTGACGTATTTTTTGTGACATTTATATTATCACAGGTAAATTTCTAAAAATAAAATAGATTTGTTTTATTCATAGACACGTACAAGAATATTAAATTGGGACAGAGTTTGTAATGGTGTTATTTTATGTATTTCTTAACCATGACAAGAATATTAAGTTGGAATTGTGTTTGTTATGGTGATACTATTTGTATTTTCTAACCATGTTACATCTATATAATTAGCGATGACTGTAAGAACACATTTTAACGTTATTATAATACAATACAATATTACAACGAAGTGTACTACATTAAAAGAACTAAAGAAACTTACATTGTTCTTAGACCAACAGCTCTCTCCAAACCTAAATTGTCAATTGTGTCCAGCATGTTACTACCAATATATCTAAAATAAGTGTATTTTATCATGACTAGATAATGGAAACAAACTCAAAAATGAAACGTTGGTCATAACTGATATAGCTACATGACCCTCTGCCTTCCGTATGTACCTTGTTGAATCTGTGTCAGTTTCTGTCATTGCAATACTCGCAAAAATGAAGCTTGTTCGGATTTTTAAATGACTACATGTACATTTTCATTTTCTGTACGCTAGTAAATTGATTTCGTTTGATATTTGTAATAATGTACATTAAACACCATTAATCACCACAAAACGACAAATTATGTTAATTTCATTTCAATCTAACGCCTTATTTGTGTATTGTTGATTGTCTATTGGTCTTTATCTTATTTAGACATGGCGTTGTCAGTTCATTTTCGACTTATGAGTTTAAATGTCCCTTTTGTATATTTTGCCTTTCGTGAATGTATGGATATTCGTATGACTGTAGTCAATTATTTAGCGTGGTTAAAATAATTTTGACAACAAAATTTAAACAAGTATAAGAAATAGTTTTATTTAGATCCTTAAATAATTGACTTTTGTTTGTTTAACTTCAAATATTTCAGTAATCGATTAAATACACACTGCATGTATAATTCAGATATTCTTAGTAAAATGTGTACTTACACGTTCAAAATGCCATGGAAACAAACATATAACACACACATTTTAACTTTTTTGCTGTGTCAATTTCAACGCGAATGTAAAAACCCAAATGTTTTCCCTTGTACAATATTCATCAAATATGGCTGTTAATTGCCTAGTAGAATGTAAATTTGGGTCAGCCTATCAAGGGTCAAAGTAACAAAACCCGTAAATATACTTATATAAGGAGAAACGTTTGAAACACTACATTTTTGGTTCTAAATCAGATATTTCCCGATCGTTAATAAATAACTTGGTGTGATGGTCAGTACTTGGATCAAAGGTCAGCGGCAAACAAAAGATTTCTGTGAAGATTTAAGATTTATCATTTAATTGTTTTATACAAATGTATTTCTGCTACTATTTTATTTGAATCTCGGCTTTGCATCCATTGGGATTTGCATTTGCATACATTTTATTTATTAAATTTTATTTTAAAACAAAACATTCTGCTTTAAATGTGTTCTATATATTTTTTGGTATATTTTCTCCGGATGAACAACCGAAAACAACGTAACATAGGTTTAACGATTACAATCGCGAGTTAGTTGACCGATCAAATGTGTTGGTGTCTCAACTCACTGGCGACATGTTTTCGCGGTTTGAGATCTTTTTATACCAGTAATGTCGTATGCTCTATGAATTTTACCGACAGTGTACTGTTCCTGATTGTGACATGTATACTAAGTGTGAAATTGCATGGCGCCTATTTACCATGTCGACGTACCCGGGTCTGCTATGATAGGTTGTTCCGCAAGAAGTATTAATGCATTATTTAAGCCAGAAGTGTATTGGATGTACATGAATCTTCATGGCTGGGAAAAAAAACATATCAAATTAATTATACTCTTTCATGTCTTTGTTCAGCTCTATGCGTGTGTGCGTTTGGGTGTTGTTTTTGGTTTCCGTCTTGAGCGTTAAAGTAAAAGAGTTGAACGTTAATATTAGCGGCATGTGTAACCCTTAGTAAACAGAAAACACTTGAAGGAAATTATTGTTAAAATTTACTCACATGGTTTCTAAATAAGGAAAGTTTTTCCAAATGTCTCCAAAAAAATCATGTTGTTTACTTCGTCTTGTCTGTTGAATGTTTCTATGTTTTAATATAAATAACTTATGACAACATATTATTTCTAAAACCTTTTTCAACCATGCAATGCATGAGCATATATTGAAATTTTTGTTAACCATTAACCAATTAATAAATACAAAAATGCTACATATACAATATTCCCGTGCAGATGCTTCAAAACAGTTCCGTGAGTACAAACATAGAAACAAATTAAAAGAGAAAAATACCCTGTCCAATTTATACAACTGAAGGAAATATGACTGCTAGTACACACCGACAACCACCGAATTACAAAGACTTTGGAATGGATATGCCGGGAAAAGGTAGAAATAGGTTGGAAAAAACGTGTATGTGATCTCCCAAACCCCACTCTCACCTGAAATCCTATTAAGGGAAAATATGGTGTATTAACTAATTTGAAGTTGCTTTCATTTTATGTGAGTACTTTTAACTCAAAACCTAAGAGTGATTTGTCTTTATGTAAGGGTTATGTGTGTGTAATGTGTACCGAACTTGTTAGTAAAGCTTTACTGTTTTTTTTTTTATTTTCCTTTTTTTATTTTGGGCTGTTTTGTGTAGTTAAGAGGGAGGGTGAATGGCCAGAGGCATGTATAACCTCGCCACATTGTTTAAATCAGGAATCTGTAATACGGTAGTGGTCATTTGCTGTTTCGTTTTTCCTAGTTGCTTCTAATTCAAATCAGATTGTTAGCTTTTTGTTCTGAACTGTTTTACATTTTGCGATGCCGGAGTCTATTTTGCTTATTATTGTAGGCTGTATAGTGCCCTACATCTGTTTGCATCATCGCCCTGTGATCTCTACTGTATAGTTACTGCATTGGCAATACACAAGTTATTTCATTACCAATAGTTTTACATTGTGTTATGTGTTTTTGATAGTTTGTTCGTACTGTGTATCGATCTGATAAATAAAGTCCTTTTCAACTGATTTGTATAGTTTGTTTTTATGCTGTATCGTTAGACCGCTGTTCCAGTGTACGGGAGGGGGATTTAGCCGCAAAATAATTCAGGCCTTTATTTTTGTTATATGAATTGTTTTACATTTGTTACCCCTTTGCCTTTAACAGCTAATTATGCGATATGGGTTTTAATCCTTGTTAAAAGCCGTACGATGACCTATAGTTGTTTAATTTTACGGCATTTGGTAAAATTTTAAATTACAAAAATACTGAACTGAAAATTCAAAACGGAAAGTCCCTTATCAAATGGCAAAATCAAAAGCACAAACACATCAAACGAATGGACAACAACTGTCATATTCCTGACTTAGTACAGGCATTTCCTTATGTAAATAATTGTCTTTTTTTCAGATAAAATTGCATCCTTTTCGTATGATTATTTTAACAATATCGTACACTAAATCTGGAGAATCGTAATAAAAGTCTTTAGTGACGATATTTATACAGTTCATATTCCATGTGCTTAAAAACTGGCATTCAGTCGTGTCTTTTTTTCATGTATATATATTAGAAATATTGAATAAAGACAACAGTAGTATACCGCTGTTTGAAACTCATAAATCGATAGAGATAAAAACAAATCCGGGTTACAAACTAAAACCGAGGGAAACGCATCAAATATAAGAGGAGAACAACGACACAATAAAAACACAACATTAAAATGTAACACACACAGAAACGAACTATAATATAACAATGGACATTTTTCTGACTTGGTACAGGACATTTTAAGAAAAAAATGGTGGGTTGGACCTGGTTTTGTGGCATTCCAAACCTCCCGCTTTTATGGCAATGTTAAATATAACATTAAAATGACAACATTACATGACATGACTACAATACAAATAAATGGGAGAACATATAGGACAAAGAAACACACGAATAATAGCAAACAAAAGGTACTAGGTTTAGAATTTAATACGCCAGACGTGCGTCTCGTCCACACAAGACAAACCAGTGACGCTCAGATTAAAAAAGTTTGAAAGCCAAAACAAGTACAAAGCTGAAGAGCACCGAGGACCAAACTTCCAAAAAGTTGCGCCTAACACGGCCAGGGTTTTCTGCCTGGGACAAGAACATCCTTATTATTTAGAATAGTATATACTTTTGCAAACAGTAAATTTTATAAAATGACTATATAATAGATATACATGATTAAACCGAAGTGGGGACTAACTAATAAGATAGAATTAGGATTGATTCAAGATTAGATCTGTAATGCTGACATTACATTTATTAATAACAATGAAAATTACAATACTATTAATATCAAATTGTGGTAGTAATTAGATAATTAATTGTATTATCTAGGTATGTCGGTGTTTCTTCTGAATCAAACTGTAAACCAAATATATCGTATAAATTTCGTTGAACCAAACTAAAATCTAATAAATGAAGGGGTGATTAATTATCTTTACCATAAAACGCGAATATAACAGAAAAGACGTTAAGACATTTGGCAAATTTGAAAATGATTATGAAAAATCAATAATCGGGCCAACTGATACCAAACACCTTAAGAGGGACCAGATTGTCCGAACTTGACACTACTACACAAAGAAGAAATTATAAAACAAGTTTGATCATTTATATAAAAATAGTCGCTAGAATTATAGCGAAACCAAAGAAATCATTTCACAATAAAGTGATAATAAAATTATGTGTGTTTATACACAATTGTAATCTACTTACAAATCCGTCAACTGACTACAAGGTAGAAGAAACTGATATCCATAACCAGACAATGAATTTGATTGTAGATTTCTGTAATAGTTATATATAGATATTCGCCGTCAAAAGCTATGCACATGTCAACAAAGACAAATCTGTTGTGACAAAATGAAAGATAAACATAATGTTTGTTTAGTTTTCATACAGTAAAGTCGAAAATATAATCAATAAAAACGCCTTACTGAGTTAAGAAATTTGAAAAAAGAGAGGAAAAAAAAAAAACCAAACGCCAAGGCAAATGCAAATAGTCCACCAAAACCGACAATATCAACCGTGATTAACCAACAACTGTCAACTTAGTATGGTACAGATATTTTCCTAAGAAAATGGTGGGTCAAACTGGTTTTTATAGCTAGCTAAACCCCCACTGGTATGACAGCTCTTTATAGGTCCGTTATATTGACAATCTATGAATCCCTCATTAACCACTACACCATGTTTTTTGGTTTTTTTTTGTTTGTTTTTTTCAGCTCCCCACAAGGCTGACTGGGGTATAAAAATATGGTCACTATTGGTCTTCTCCGAACGGTAGTAAAACTCTCGCCCAAGAGAGGCGTCCGTTTGGCTGTGCGAGATGTAAAAGTTTGCAGCCACGTCCTGTCAGAATGGGGACATCAAATCCGATGTCTCGAGTTAAGAGAGTGCCACGCTATTTGCACGTTAAGAACCCATGTAACAACTCTTCGAGGGGTCCGTGGCAAGCCAACATTTCTGTGCCTATCCAATATACCCTCATTTTCCCGTGGCAGTCCACAGGTCCCCGATCTTCATCCCGGACGGCCTCTATTACATGCCCTACCTATTGTACTTATTGTTAATTTGTTCTCGTCCTGAATACGCATGAAATTTTGGCCACTGGACGTTAAGCAACCAACAATCAATCAACTTTTTGCAGTTATCGAGGTTCGATGGTGAACACGTTGACTACACTAGTGTAGAATTTATGTCCGACAGGGAAAAGAATTTAAATGAAGGCATTGATGAAGTTTCAGTTGAAGATACTGTTGTAGAAGATTTTTCAAATTCAGATCTCTTGACTTATATGAAAAACAAAATTGCCGGTCTCGAGAAAAATGGGTCGACCAATAGTTTATCCAAACAGGTGAGGAAGTCGGAAACACCTTTAAATTCAAAGGTAATAAATTTCTGTTTGATTTTAACGTGAATGTGGTCGACAATGTAGATTATGCTATTGCTTGTATTAAGAAGAAACGTCCGAATAAAGCCATTGCGTAGTTCGGATATTACAAAGAGCTGCTGAATGAGTGGAATACGAGTATAAGGATCGCATATAAAGTCCGCAGGCGGTTGGAAGACGGTCAGTGCATACTTATTTGATGATATCGCTATTGATTCGGAAGATAAGAAACGCAACAGTGCCGCAAACAGCAGGGCAGTCAAGAAAAGTAAGGCAGACAAGACAAAAAGCAGCATTATTAGTTTTACATTTGTCATTTCCGGGCCTTTTATAGCTGACTTTGTGGTATGGTTTTTTTTTCTCATTGTTGAAGGCCGTATGATGACCTATAGTTGTTAACTTCTATGTCATTTTGTCTATGGTGAGGAGTTTTTACACTGGCAATCATACCATATCTTCTTGTTTTTATATACATGGTAGAAAAAAACCTGCAGAAGTGTCTGGTTCGTGGTATCAACAGGCTCATAGTGATTTAAATTCTGGAGGTAATGGTTTTCAACTTTAGGCTTTTCCTGCAGGGGTATCTTCCGGTATAGCCCAGGGTCAACAGAGCCAAGCAAAAAAAAATGATGATTGATCAACGGAAATGAAACAGTGATAATGTTCGGAATTTGCTCTCAGAAAGGTAGTGGAATATTTCTGTTTCAAAAAAAAAAACTTTCGAGGTCTGTTTCAAGTGTGGATTTTATTGTTTTTGGCCGAAAAAAAGGTCGCCGACAGAGCAAGTCTAGAGTACACAGAGAACCTTCACAGGACAAAAGATCAAGATACTTTTAAAATACTTTAACAATTTAATATCGACACTTATTTTGAATATGAGATAGATGTTATGGGATTAAACGCCTTTTTAAAGAAATTTATTGGTGTATAAACTCGATCAATTCACTCACAAACAAATAAAAGTCTGACGGACTTTTATGATATGTTTGTGAGTGACTTGGTCCAGTTTATACACCAATAAATTCCTTTAAAAAGGCGTTTAATCCTTATAATTCTTTAAATTAATGTATTTTTCCACACTCATAACCTCTTTCACACGTAAATTGTATAATTATGTCATTGAATTAGCCTGGCGCATGAGTATATTTATTTGTTAAAGCAAAAGTATGTACTCCATGAAATTTGCTATCTGATAAAAAATAAACTACAAAAAATCATAATATCATTCAAATGAATGTTTTGTGTTTATTATTTAATTTAACGATTAACGCGAAGTGAAAATAAATATTTTAAACGTCGAGCCGGATTGTGTTATTATCGTCGCCATCTTGTTTACATTGGTTACAAAAAGAAATTTGGTCAACGTCGTCTATCGAAAAATAAACAACGTCAAGAACAACTATCGGAAGTCCTCTCGGCCAATCATATCAATGTATTTCCTAATATGCAAATCATATCAGAATAATTCTGCTATATTTATAAAGGAAAAGTAAGTAATTTTTAAAACTTTTTGGTTAAGATTTGTATGTTCCCAAGAGAAGATTATAAAATATCCTTTTTTACAAAAACCTCAATCTGTATTTTTGTTAAAATGATTTGTCGTCTCTAAAAAATAATATTTTTGTACATGAGACTACTTTATATTTGCCTAAAGAAAGTATCGAGCGGACCCACGCTGTGAACTCTCTGAAAGTAGCTATCAGTGTAAAAGATAAACATAGACTTGGACTGGATATAGGACACGTGAACAAACAGGTATTAGTAAACAAAGTTAAATTCGAAGATATGAAAGTGTCGAAACAATATGTCACAAATTATTCTGTCGGTTTTCCTTCTCCACACCAGAAGTATTAAGATTTCTCATGGAAGTTGTATGATGTTGTATAAGACCTGGACGTATTCGGAAAAAAATTAAGAGCTCCACATGGAGAGAGGTGAAAGCAATCGAGTTGTGCTAAATATCGTGTGCGCATTTATTTTGCAACAAAACAGTTGTTTTTTATACAGACAACTAGAACGAAGTGAGCGTCCTTGAGAAAGGTAGCAATATATTTGAACTTCAGGACTTGACTCTTTCAATTTTTAAAAATGTATTGTGAATTGTATTTCCTTCATCAGTATGATTATGATGATGTAAAATGAATCATATCAATACATTTTGATTTAACTTAATCAATTTTTACTGTTATACAATTACAAACCGAACAAATATACGTAAGGATTTGAATGACTAGTAAACATTATCCTTGTCAAAGCAATTACGTATCTATTTTACACAGCCAATGTTCCTTTTAAGGTAACTATTCGTATATAAATATATTCAAAGAGTGTAACTTACCAAAATAATGTTTGTATAAGCTATATCAAAATACCGTTTGCAGTAATCGTCCGTTTTCTCACAAACCAAAAAACATCATACTATTTGTTATAACAGAATATTATATCAACTTACAGATTCCTTAAATCAGTCAAGTTGTTGAACGCATTTGGATGAATGTAAGAAATCGTATTGTCGCTCAAGTCCCTAAAAAAAGAATTGAAATGTACTTTCATTGTGATCATACGAAATGAACGATTTACAAATATAATTATTTAAGAAAGGCTTATATATTTTTGTGTATTTTAAAGCGTACATAACTGCAGGTACATTAGAGTGGTAAGTTTTTTTTTGTCGTGAAAGTGAACACTATGTTATAACCAACGCCAGCACGACAATTATGAATGCCTAACATGTTAAGTTGTGTAACATTTTTGTAGAATATATGACATATTATTGACAGTAATGCCATTCATGAAGGAATGTATTATGAACTAAATGATTAGCCACGAAACGCAAATCATGAACATAGCAAATCTGTGTGAAGAAAAAGAAATAGGCATTTGAATTTGTCTTTTCGAGGTCAGACTGCATTTTTGTCAACACTGATGCTGATTTCACGTCCAAGTTCTTAATCTATGATAATAAAAAAAATTGTATCAAGCAAATATAAAGTAGCTGGGAAGAATACATCAGGCAAGTTAACTATTTATACTCTTCAATCATCTTCGTTCTGATGATTGATCAACGGAAATGAAACAGTGATAATGTTCGGAATTTGCTCTCAGAAAGGTAGTGGAATATTTCTGTTTCAAAAAAAAAAAAAAAAACTTTCGACGTCTGTTACAAGTGTGGTTTTCATTGTTTTTGGCCGAAAAAAAAGTCGCAGACAGAGCAAGTCTAGAGTACACAGAGAACCTTCACAGGACGAAAGATCAAGATACTTTTAAGATACTTGAACAATTAAATATTGACACTTATTTTGAATATGAGATAGATGTTATAGGATTAAACGCCTTTATTAAAGGAATTTATTGGTGTATAAACTCGATCAATTCACTCATAAACAAATAAAAGTCCGACGGACTTTTATGATATGTTTGTGAGTGACTTGGTCCAGTTTATACACCAATAAATTCCTTTAAAAAGGCGTTTAATCCTTATAATTCTTTAAGTTAATTTATTTTTCCACACTTATAACCTCTTTCACACGTAAATTGTATAATTATGTCATTGAATTAGCCTGGCGCATGAGTATATTTATTTGTTAAAGCAAAAGTATGTACTCCATGAAATTTGCTATCTGATAAAAAATAAACTACAAAAAATCATAATATCATTCAAATGAATGTTTTGTGTTTATTATTTATTTTAACGATTAACGCAAAGTGAAAATAAATATTTTAAACGTCGAGCCGGATTGTGTTATTATCGTCGCCATCTTGTTTACATTGGTTACAAAAAGAAGTTCGGTCAACGTCGTCTATCGAAAAATAAACAACGTCAAGAACAACTACCGGGAGTCCTCTCGGCCAATCATATCAACGTATTTCCTAATATGCAAATCATATAAGTATTATTCTGCTATATTTGTACAGGAAAGTAATTTTTAAACTTTTGGATAAGATTTGTATATTACCAAAGAAGGTTATAAAATATCCTTTTTTTTACAAAAACTCAATTTGTATTTTTGTTAAAATGATTTGTCGTCTTTAAAAAATAATATTTTTGTACATGAGACTACTTTATAATTGCCTAAAGAAAGTATCGAGTGGACTCACGATAGGCTTGGACTGGATTTAGGACACGTGAACAAACAGGTGTTAGTAAACAAAGTTAAATTCGAAGATATGAAAGTGTCGAAACAATATGTCACAAATTATTCTGTCGGTTTTCCTTCTCCACACCAGAAGTATTAAGATTTCTCATGGAAGTTGTATGATGTTGTATAAGACCTGGACGTATTCGGAAAAAAATTAAGAGCTCCACATGGAGAGAGGTGAAAGCTATCGGGTTGTGCTAAATATCTTGTGCGCATTTATTTTGCTACAGAACAGCTGTTTTTTAATACAGACAACCAGAACGAAGTGAGCGTTCTTGAGAAAGGTAGCAATATATTTGAACTTCAGAAATTGACTCTTTCAATTTTTAAAAATGTACTGTGAATTATATTTCCTTCATCAGTATGATTAGGATGATGTAAAATGAATCATATCAATACATTTTGATTTAACTAAATCAATTTTTACTGTTATACAATTACAAACCGAACAAATATACGTAAGGATTTGAATGACTAGTTAACATTATCCTTGTCAAAGCAATGACGTATCTATTTTACACAGCCAATGTTCCTTTTAAGGTAACTATTCGTATATAAATATATTCAAAGAGTGTAACTTACCAAAATACTGTTTGTATAAGCTATATCAAAATACCGTTTGCAGTAATCGTCCGTTTTCTCACAAACCAAACAAAAAATCATACTAATTGTTATAACAGAATATTATATCAACTTACAGATTCCTTAAATCAGTCAAGTTGTTGAACGCATTTGGATGAATGTAAGAAATCGTATTGTCGCTCAAGTCCCTAAAAAAAGAATTGAAGTGTTCTTTCATTGTGATCATACGAAATGAACGATTTACAAATATAATTATTTAAGAAAGGCTTATATATTTTTGTGTATTTAAAAGCGTACATAACTGCAGTTACATTAGAGTGGTAAGTTTTTTTTTGTCGTGAAAGTGAACACTATGTTATAACCAACGCCAGCACGACAAATAATGAATGCCTAACATGTTAAGTTGTGTAACATTTTTGTAGAATATATGACATATTATTGACAGTAATGCCATTCATGAAGGAATGTATTATGAACTAAATGATTAGCCACGAAACGCAAATCATGAACATAGCAAATCTGTGTGAGGAAAAAGAAATAGGCATTTGAATTTATCTTTGCGGGGTCAGACTGCATTTTTGTCAACACTGATGCTGATTTCACGTCCAAGTACTAAATCTATGATAATTGAAACAATTGTATCAAGCAAATATAAAGTAGCTTGGAAGAATAAATCAGGCAAGTTAACTCTTTATACTCTTTAATCATCTTCGTTCTGATGATTGATCAACGGAAATGAAACAGTGATAATGATCGGAATTTGCACTCAGAGAGGTAGTGGAATATTTCTGTTTCAAATCGTTCCAAAAGATGGAATATCATTTACACTTTTTTATGTGATTTTTTAATTGGCAAAATATGATAAAAATGTATCTATTCCATAACGAAACGTTCAAAATTAGGCAAGACCTACAAGGTCTGTTATAACAAAAAGCATAACAGTGTTAGACAAACTTAAACCGGAAGTGATTATTCCGTATTTGCCCACGGTTTAATACGGCTTTTACAGTATTGGACTGGGCCGAGTAGCAATATTCATGATATTAACGCATGAGTTATATCAACAGATGACTTCACTAGTATATCACATGAAGATTATTCGTATAAGGGCCAATTTGCTCATATTATTCAATAATAGAAATTAAACATCTAGTAAACGACGTAATAAGTGTTTTGCTTTTACTAATAGTCTCTATTATAGGATGAATAATATAATGAACAGGTCTTTTCTATAATAACTGTGTTTGTTGGGTTTTTTTACGTTTTTTTGTGTTTATCTTTGAATTTCATTTTGCTATGAAGTTGTACATGTTGTATATATATTTGTCTGTTTAACAGTAGATGGGAGGCACACTGACGGTGTTGAGTGTTCTGCTGTAAGTTATATGTTTTTCCCTGTGTTCATATTGTATATCCCTTGATGTAATTCCCTGAATTGGTTTTACACGCTTAGTATTTTGTATATACATGTATTATTTTTTGTTCATTTTTATTTTACTTTTACTTTTAAAAAACAACGAATCTTAAAAGAAAAACGTAGTATTTCGAAAAAAATTGTCAAACCCATAAGTCAATCAACTAATAATGTAATGGTAAAACAATACAAAAAACTACTAAAGATATCAAAAGTGTACAAAACACAGCATACAAAACTAGCGAATGGGCAAATCTTATATCTTACATATTTACCTTGAGGTCATTGCAATGAAAAAACAGCAAAAATCTATTTCAAATACTCACAGAGTCTGCATCCTTGTAAAATTTCCAAAAGATAGGTCATCAATATTTGTAAACATGTTGCCACTAATATGCCTGAAATGTTGTTAAATTATTACTATTTCATTTATCGGTTTATGTGTCTTTGACTTAGGAACATTACACATCTTTTAACCGTATAAGAACTTCAAAATAAAGTTAGTATCGTTACCGTGCCATTTCTCATCCGTGTCTTGAACAGGACGACAATATCATTGCCAAACTAAGGAATATATTTTAATATACGTCTTCGTGACTAACCACAGACTGAATTATATTTATAACTTGTATATTTAAGCCAGTGAACTGCTCGTGTATTTGCATTGTTTATCCGTGGTATACTTGAAATTTTACTGTTTTACAAAGTATATATGTATCTCACATTCAAAGGACTGTGCTATAATTTATATTTGACATGTCGCTCATTATAACATAAATTCAACACATAGTAAAATTTTATATCATCTAGAATTAACAGATATTACCATTTGGTAGATTGGTTCTTAAATTACAGTATCAGCACCTGATAGTCGTTTTTGCTTGATCTCAATCGTCAGTTATTCCTAAAAATCCGGTCATTTTAGTAAAAAGAGTACAATTTACCTGTTGTGTCTCACAGATTACGCAACTCCACGTCAGTTTAACGACTCCAACCTTTAATGTGTGCCCCTCATGAAAACGCCTTTTATTGGCTTACAATCAATTGACGACAACCTGTCTTTACTTTTCCAGTAAAGGAATAACAACGAAGCAGCGTTCTTATCTGTTACCTTGACAGTACGAAACCTAGCCTGAGTGGCATAAGCAACAAACCAACAACGTTGTTAATAGTTTATTGTAATCAAACTACCCGTTACAAAACATGAATTCTGATCATAAAGAACGCCATGACAACACAGAGTGTCTATATAAAAAAAAAAAAAATACAAGAACAAGCGTAACTTCCAGTGAATGCTGGACACCCTTACGAAAATACGTCTGATGTTTCACTCTAATAGCAAGTGACTCACAGATGAGTACCTGAACCCTCTAAAGAAGACCAGAACGTTCGACAGTCTTAAGGACATGGACACATGTAATCATTTATCAGATATTCGACTGTTCAAAGCGGACTTGGTCATGGAAACACTGCACGAACATCGCCTCGCATTGGCAAAGGGTTAACCAACAAACACATCAACGAGTAACAAAACATCACACAACGGAAATTACATTGTTTCTTACATGAGGTAAAGGCTTTGCTTATTGTTGCAGACCTTGGATAACATGTAATTACATCCATACACCGTCAGTGTGTACGTCGTTTCTTCCTCTTTCCGATGTTTTTGCTTTAAATAATCGGTTGATTGAAATTTTAATAAATAATAATATACAGGAACTCACAAATGTTGAAGACTTGGAAGATTCATAAAAGTAAATGGTTCTATTGTGGATATGTCATTGTTATACAGATATCTTAAAAGAGAAAAGTACATAACTGTTATATGGTAATCTGCTAAATAACACTACAAACCTTTATAGCCAAAAAAATATACAAAACAAAAAGTAAAGATGAATATGATTAGTGAAAATATGGGTGAATTAATGAACCGACAAACAAACCCAAGTAATTTAAAGGACATCACATAGTATTTAACAACAGACAGCCGTCCCTACAATATGTCTAGCTTTCAAATGTGCCGAGTGTACATACGATGTAATAAAATTGTACCAAACACGCATAGATCTTTCAAGAACACGGTTTTCCCAAACGCACGTTAACTAATAAGATATGACCTACGAGAAATACTGACGAGGTCCCTGACTCAGACCCTACACTTTAATCGAAATAACACATTAAAAATGTCATGCCTTCTTAGCTCTTCTATATTCAGGGATGCATAAATACGTACTATCGTTCGGAATTATATAACACAAAGGGAATAGTCAAATCATCCAAGGTCAACTTTGTCTGCAGGAGTTAAAACCTTAGATCAATCGTTCAATTTTTTAACTTCATTAATTGTTGTAGCTTACGGTGGATCATCGGTATATATTTCCTGAGATAGAATTTTCTTATACTTTGCCAAAATGAAGATTTAACTACGCTTTTTTAAGATATAATATAAAGTATGGGTCACCGTGCTATATTTCAAGCTACAAGTCGTGCAAAATTGACCAAATTTGCATAGATTGTTCATGAAAAAACACTTTTTTGTGAATAAAAAGAAATCAATGATATAGAATTTTAAATTAAAATATGAGAAGATAGGTTTTATTATATGCTTTAAGAAAAAAAAAGAAAAAAATGGTATCAACGAAAATGTTTTCTTGCTACTAGTAAAAAATAAAAATTTCACTATAATGGTCTAGTTGAAAAATTGATTCTAAAAAACACAAATATTGGTATTTGTTAAATTATTTTGGATAATGCGATTAATCACTTATTTTTCTTTATACACATACAACAGTCTTACAAATATAATTGCAAATCTGTCTCAAAATTTGCAGATTGAGGTAAAGAACTAGACCGATTGTGTACTACTATTGTACAATCCAAGATGGCGGTATACAGGTCTACCTTAACGCAGCCAGTTGTCTTTCTCGTTTTAATCGTGTCAAATTGTTTATTGGTTTAATGTATTTTTTTCCGATTTAGAAATTCTTACATACTGAATACTTATATATTATGTTGGCTTATTGATATGTATAACATTTCATTAATTTTCTCATGATTTACAAATCATGTCTCTCTAGAAATCTGATACAAGCTTTATTTTAGCATGCTTCATCATATCTATACTGTGTGGTGCATTTTGACGTCCATTACACATTAGCGTCCTACTTATCAAATTATTAAAGCGATATGTTTTTATCGTAATACCGCGTAGCTCAATGTTTTAGTATAAATCAGGCAGTTGAATTTCACCTTTGCATTGTTTCAGATTTTGTCAAGGTATATTTGGTCCTTTGATAGCATTTCAAGCTTTCTTGCGGTATGGGTTTTGCTCATTGTTGAAGACAAAGGTTGACCTATATTTGTTTCTTTCGATTCCGATGATTTAGATTTAAATAATGCATTGATTGAATTCTTAAAAAATAATGAAGCAGGTAAACGAAAAAAAATGCAAAGCGGTTTATGTGAATAAGTCAATTAACAAAACAAACTTTAAACTTGCAAAATAATAAACAAAAGAAATAGTAAAGATGAATATGATAAACGAAGATGTGGGGAATGTATTAACCGACTTACAAACCCAAAGAATTTAAAGGAAAGCACACATTTGTAAACAGCAGACAGCTGTCTCTACAATATGTCAAGCTTTGAAAAGTTCAGAGTGTACTTAAGATGCAAACACAGTATACAGAAACATATACAGATCTGGCACTGACGATAAACATTAAGATATGAGAGACTAGAACTACTGACGAGGTCTCTGACTCACGCCCTAACCTTTAGTTGATATAACACTTCAACAATGTCATGCCTTCTTAGCTCTTCTAGATTCAGGGATGCATAAATACGTATTATCGTTCAAAATTATATAACCAAAAGGGAAAAGCCACATTTATTCAAGATTAACTTTGTCTCCAAGAGTTACATCCTTAGATTCTTGATATTTTTTGTATTGGCGCATCGTTCAACTTTTTGGTTTTTGTTAATTGTTGTAGCATAATTCAGCCAGTTGCATTTCTTGTTTGAATTGTTTCAGATTGTTTCTACTCTGATGGTCTTTTTTCCAATTTAAAAATGCTTGCATACTGAAGTCTCTCTACAATTCGGATACAAGCTTTATACTAGCATGCTATCTTGTGTGGTGCAATTTTACGTCCAGTACACATTTATGTCCCGTTAACCGAATAATAAAGGCGATATATTATATCGGCATTACGGCATATCTCAATGTTTTCTTCTTCGTGTATTGTTTTAGTATAAATCAGGCAGTTGGATTTCTTCTTTGCGATGTTTCATATTTTGTCCAGTGATATAAAGGCATTTGATCTAATTTAAACCTTTCCTTGAGATATGGTTTTTGCTCATTGTTGAAGACCTTACATTGACTTATATGTAATCAAATCCACACGCTGTCAGGGTGTACGTCGTGTTTTTTTTTTTATTTCCAATGATTTAGATGTAAGTATTGCATTGATTAAAATCTGAATAAATAATTAAACAGGTACTCACAAATATTGAAGACTTGAAAGATTCATAAAAGTAAATGGTTCTATTGTAGATATGTCATTGTTATACAGATATCTAAAATGAGAAAATTGCAACGCAGTAATATGTCAAACGTTAAAATTGCCAAAAAAAAAACCAAAATTTTTTTTTAGTAAAAATGAATATGATTAACGAAGATATGAAGAATTAATTAACCGATATATAAACCCAAATAATTTAGCACATATTAAACAGCAGAGAGCTGTCCCTACAATATGTCAAGCTTTGAAAAGTTCAGAGTGTACATAAAATGTAACAAAGTATACAGAAACATACACAGATCTGTCATTAACCCCGTTTTCTCCAACTGACGATAAACATTAAGATATGAGAGACTTCTACTACTGACGAGGTTCCTGACTCACCCATTACTCTTTAGTTGATATAACACTTTAACAATGACATGCCTTCTTAGCTCTTCTAGATGTAGGGATGCATAAAGACTTATTATCGTTCAAAATTATATAACCAAAAGGGAATAGCTACAGCTTTTGAAGGTTAAATTTGCTTACTGGAGTTAAAACTTTAGATGTTTGATAATTGCTTAATTTATCAACTTCAAATTTTAGAAAACTATGTTATAGATCATGCTAGTATAAAAGGAATAAGAACTGAACTAATGACCATAGTACTCTTGTCTTGGTATATAACAAGTGCTAAAGACAGTAAATGTTTATGAAAAACAAGACAGTAAAATAAAAATAAAAATGAACATCATGACTTACAGTCGATACAAGTTTGTCATGTTGATAAATGTGTAACTCTTTAATGACCGTATCTTGTTAGAATTCAGATCTCTAAAAGATATAAAATAAATCCGATTCAAAATGACATAATACAGGTAGTGTAGTTGAATAACAAAGATGTTTAATAATTTCTGCAACCGGTGTTTTCTTATAAATTTCGTCGAAAAAATGATGAACTAAAAAGGTAACGTTCAACTGCCATATAACATGCCAAATAGCCACTGACTGCCACTAAAATCGATTGCTATGTTCTACTCCAATTCAAACTAAATCATTGTCTGTTTAAACGATAGAATGACCATTCTTAAAGACTCCATTCCGATTGTTGTGAATTAAAACGTATACATATGCTACATAATGTTATATGAGTAAGTTTTATTTTATATGGACAAACATGCAGTTATATGCCTTCAAGAAAGCTATCTTTTCAGAATTGGTAAATCACCTCTTAATGAATACCAAAATTGACAGCAGTTTTTTATACAAATAAAATAATATTGCTTACCGACAAAAACAATTTTGAAAATCAACAGTGCAAAGATCTAACCATCATGTTGGTCATTTTCAAATCTTCTGTTTGTTTATAGGCACACATTTTTATAGGCTTTGTAAAGTCCTAAGATGCAATTTTATAAATATCTTTTGAAATGTAGCAAATTATGCATGCATGCACTTTTTTCATACACCTTCTAAATTTATTTCTTTATATTTTATGCATAAAATAATAAGTAGGAGGTGAAATTACATGTATAAACAATTTGGAGTAGTAATCTGGTGCAGTTTGAAAAGGTCAAAAATTAATATGTCTTAATCTGAAGCTGCCAAACTATATTATACACCCCCTTTACATAAAATTGTCCTGAATTTGTGTGACAGTAAATAGACTTTTCTATAATTTTGACATAATTTGTCCAAATAGTAGTACAATACACCGTAAAAGCAGGTGCGAATTTTTAAATCTGCGTTTTCTGTCTTGAATAAATGCACTACGATATAACTGTTTTCTTTGACCAGTGTTTGTTATATGACTGTTTTGTGTTACTAACGTCATTCTGTCGGGCTGTTCAACATAGTTTTGATAAGAATTCCTCGACTGCTTTATACATTGTTTATATATTCCGTTATTGTTATCCTTATTCACTGTTATGACTTTCGGCCTCATATTATTTTCTCATTACCCTTAATATATCATTTTAAGAAATGGTGAGAAAACAAAATACACAACTCCTTCAAGGATATTCACGTGCGAAAAGAACCGCATTCCAAAAATAAATTCTACTGCCGTCAATCTAAATTCCCCTTCTAAATTTAGCACTTTTTACAATTGTGTCAAAGGTGCACGTGGATATCAACAAATATTCCCGTAGAATGACAGACAAGACTAATATGCTCTAGATTATCTTCTAATAATACTGTTAGGTCAACAGTGAACGGGTGAGCTTTTTCGCTTCCCTTTTCCTGTGACATTACATAAAAAACTCAAAGTCTCATTTATCTGGTTACTTGAA